TACACAATTATGATTTTTAAAATTAAGAACAGTATTAATTTTAAAAGATTAATCTAGAAATACAACTTAGGTTCGATATTCATTTGAAGACCAAGAATCTAAGGTAACAATTGCCCACTTTTTGATCAATTATTATCTTACTTTGTTCTCTGAAGTTGCTTATTTAACAAAAAGAAAAAATTTTGAAATATTGCTTTCTAGCTAACAGGGTTTTTATATATTGACCTAATGCCACTGAAAGTTTTTAGATTAATTAAAAATGATTTCCAAACTAAATCCTAGTTTTCAAATCTTAATTTGTAAATTTAAGTAATTTAAATATAAATTAAGTAATTTAAGCAATTCCATTATCAGTCCACATTACCTGATAAATAAAAATAAAACTATGTAAATAAAAATCTGCATACATTTTTATTCTTTCATGTGCATTTAGCACTGAGAAAAAATATACCTAATAGTTTGTACACATCATGAAGGATAGTATGAGTCAAAGAACTCAAATGCAGTACAGCACACTAGTGAACTGGCCAGTGCAATAATATTAAGTAATATTAAGTGGCACTAAGAGCGCCACTTAGGATTGATCTATACTAGAAACACTGACCGCTTGTGAAACAGTGGTCTCTAGAGGGTGCTATGGTTGGGATGTGGTTTCCTCTCCCGGGGTCTCTGGGTCAGAGGCTTGTTGGAGGTGGGATCTTTAATAAGTGGGGCATGGCAGAAGGTGGGGCATGATGGGAGGTGTGGTGTGGTAGGAGGAGGGGCATGGTGGGAGGTATGGTGGGAGGTGTGGTGGGAGGTGTGGTGGGAGGTCATTAGGGCCACAGAATACTTATCTTTGAAAGTAACTGAGGTATTCCTTGTGGGGCCTTGGTTAGCTCTCAGGATAGCATTGTACCTGGCCCCACATGGCCTCTCTCTTGCTTCCTTTTATGAGATGAGACTGCTCCCACACACACTTGCTCTGTCACTGCATCCACCCCAGGTTAGGGGATGCAGTCTAGAGATCCCGCCAGAGATGAGCCAATGCAGCACATGCCCTTGAACCCACAAACCGCAAGCTAAGTGAGTCTTTTTCTTCATGAGTCATTTGCCTCATGTATTTCATTGTTACCCATGAAAGCTAATCAGCAGAGTTCTTTGTAACATGACTGGGTTCTTGGTCATATGAAAGACGAGAAAACAGAGACCTCCATTTCTCCTACCAAAAGAGAACACTGAAAATCCACAAATATACTGAGTTCATATCAATTCAAGGAATTTCCTGGATCCTGACCTTACTTCCTTTTTTATTAGAATAATTTTATATTTACAGAAAGGTTGCAACGATAATATTGAGTCCCTTGTGTTCCCTTCACCGCCTTTCTCCTTACACTAATATTCATGTAATCAGGGTACTTTATGTCAAAATCAAGAAATCAACTTGTGACAGTATTCTATTAATAAAATACAGACTTTGTTTTGCTTTTGCCAGTTTTCCACACTCATCCTTTCTGGTTCTGGGGTCCTCTCCAGAACCCCCTGCTGAACTCGGCAGCCTCACCTTCTGATCAGAGTCTGCGTCCTCATGGTGATAATCATCGCAGAGTGGGCCGGGGTAAGCTGCAAAGGTGGGTCCCTGAGAGTAGTACTGAGAGCTCCGGTAGCCATCCCGCCTCAGCTTGTCACACTCTGCAGGGGACACAGGAAGGCGGGGAGATTAGAAGCCCCATTGGCTTATGCTCCTTTATCTTTTCCAGTGATACTTTCCTCAGATTGCAAAATAGTAATAACGAAGTAATGATAAAACAACTCAGAGTGATTAAAGTATCAACACACCATGTTAATACACTTTAATTGATTATCATCAGAGCTCACCACAAACCCATGAGGTAGATACTATCTTGAACTCTACTTACAGGAAATTGATGGTTAAGGCAATTAAATTACTTGCTCTGCACTGTTATACAAGTAAATAGACTTTTAACCCAGGGCTTTACTTACTGTACTACAATTTTTGACAAAAAATAACTGATTATGTTATTCTACATTTCCACATTTTAAAAAAAAACAGGGTTTGTTCTGGCAGCTCCACCAAAATGAACAAAGAAAAACCCAAGCAATTCCCACGTTATGCATATCTATCAGACTCATCAGGTGAAACTGACATTGATGATAATGCTCTCATTTTATTTAGTAATTCATTTTTCTCCTTTCAGTGCGTGCATGCGTGCGTGTGTGTGTGTGTGTGTGTGTGTGTTGCTAGAACCCAGGGCCTCTGAGCACGCTAAGCAGGTGCTCTACCACTGAGCATCTGCAGCTCTCAATTTAATTTCAATACCGCAGCACCTAACCGCATTGTGACCAGGGAAGTCAGCTGCCTGCCTGAGACGTCCGCAGAAGAAGGCCTGGTTCCCTGGTGGGAGGCAATGGGGGCCAGGCCAAGGCTGTGGGGCCAGGGAAACTGCTACAGGGAGATCTCGTCAGCGCAGCGAGTGGGGAGGAAAGTTCTAATGGCTTTTAAAGCACCAGGAGCTTTCCTATTACCCATCGCATTAAAGGAGCATTCGTCTGGAGAGAGGATTTGCCACGGGGCTCCCTTAAATACCCAGCTTTCTAACTGCACACAAAATGTGTTTGATCTTGGAAGTTTTCTCTTCACACAGCTTTACAAAACTATGCACCTAAAGGCACAGAACTAAAGTAGGGCATCTTTAGAGCCCCTGTCCTACAGGACCTATGGAGCTTCCTCAAACAGGAGACAAGCAGGCCTTTCTGTGGGGAGAAAAATATAGACTAGTTTTTTTTAACCAGGGAATAAAGTCTTTATTCTCTTTTGCTACCTCACAGTTGGAGTGGAGAGAGAAAGTTTCTAATTCAGCCCTGCAGGTCAGATTTTTTAAACCCCTTGAAAACAGGCAAGCCGTTCCATGAAAATGTCAAGCTAACTGAAAAATATCCATGTAATCATAGAATAATTAAATAGCTCTATTCCAGTTACTTATGGTGGTCTGGGCCGACAACTACTTGTAATATTGACTCTATTGGAGTTTAAAAAACTTTTTTTTCTGACATTTCCAGAACACAACATATTTTTAATGCATATTTATTCACACTAATCTAACCCTTTATAACTGAGATGAAATATTTTCACATTTCCTCCACTTACCGGTTTTTCTAACACAAATACAGAATTTATTCTTTCACTCTTTTCAAAATATTACAAAAACCATGATTAATAATTTTCAGGTGGCATTCCCTACAAAGTTTTGAGATTCTATTAATATTTGACTTGAGTTTCTTCACCTACCCTAAAGCTAGGATAAAAAATAACGCTCAAGTTCAATAGTTTTACATACCAAACTTTCAGACCAAGCGGGAATTCATTCATTAACTGAGGCTGCTAAATTAACTTCCCTGTGGACTAGAAGTGAATTATTCCTGCTATCTCTGTGAAACTGAAGTCTCCTAGAGAGTAAGGGTCAGCCTCACAAAATAACCAATACAAACTGCTACCGCTTAAGACTGCTTTACCACTTAATTCAGGGTTTTCAAATACTTTACAAATACAACAAAATATCAATAAAATAGGAGTTAAGGCCTTTGTAAACTAAGTTCATCTCTTTTTTGCCTAATTAACTCTATTGAGAAGTCTGAAATTATAAAACAATACTATTCAAATGTTACTTTTACTTTTTTTTTTTTTATTAAGTTTAGTGGTACATTTTAGGTATACAATACAGTTACATTCATCATTGGGATCTTGTACCCTTACATGATATATCTTGGTTCTTATTTTTTCCCCATTCCTCTGCCCTCCCTTCACCCACTCCACCCCCTCCACCCTTCCCTATTTACAAAGACTTTGTTTCCATTTTTTCCTTTTCTCGTATTTTTTCTTTTCCCTTCTTTCCCCTACCCCTCCCACTTCCCCTACTCCTTTAGACCTTTTCTTCCTATTTCACAAAATCAATTATACATTTTCATCCTTATTTACACTTTTAGTTTTTCACACCAGAGAAACTATTTGGTATTTATACACGTGTGCCCTATTTATTTCACTTAAGAGTATGGCCTCAATGTGCATCCACTTGGGTACAAATGTCTCTAGTTTCTCATTCTTTATGGCTGAGTAGTACTCCGTTTATTTAGAAAAAAAAAATACAACTTCTTTATCCAGTCTCCGGTTGATGGGCAATTGGGCTGTTTCCAACCTTTAGCTATTACAAACTGTGCCACTATAAACATGGGTGCACATAATATTGCTGTGGTATGAGTCTTTTAATTTGGGGGGGAAGATACTGAGCAGAGGACTAGCTGGATCAAATGGGACTTCTAATCCTAGTTTTTTGAGTTATCTCCATAATTTTTATTTTATGTATTAGACACCACATTGAGATTGTGTTTGAAACAGAAGTTTCCTCTCCCAGGAAATAAGGAGAGACCACTGGGCCAGGCATTTCTAAGTGTCATTTAGTCACGACATTCTTGGCAATAATATTAAAACAGCCAGAATGAATTGACAGCCATTAAATGTTTAAGACAAAAATACTGCAAAATTATTTTCCATACATTAAATGCGTAAAAGGCTGGCCATTTTTAGTACTGTACTTCCAGTGTGTGTCACCTTTTCATGCCCAGTTTAAATGACAATGCACTGTTTTTCTATCACAAAAATATTTAAGTAGCAGTATAATAAAATAGTGCAACAAATGAAATATAATGCTGGGTCTAAAATTAAACTAGTTAGTATAAATTTATAGCAGATGATCACTTTTTTTTTACTCTTACCAAATTTCTGAAATCTAGTAAACTCATCAAATTCCATTCTCAGTCTAATTTGAGGGGAAATCTAGGAAAAATTCCTCCTCAAGTTGAAACAGGTCTCCGTTTCTCAAACCATGGCTTCATTCATTAAAAACTGAGTTTATTGTCTTTAGAATGAGACTAAGAGCAAGCCATCATGAATTAAAAAGACTCTTCAGACCCTACTTACAGAGTAACTTCAAGGCGGAGCAAACTTTAAAGCCAGGGCACACCAGAAACCATAAGCCAGAAGGAAGAATTCAATGTAATAAATATCTACATTTAACACATACTCTTTTTTTTTTGGTACTGGGGATTGAACTTGGTACCTTGCACTTTCGAGGCAGGAGGCGGAACCACTGAGCTAAATTCCTGGCCCTATACATACTCTTCTTACAGTAGAAATTTACTTAGTAAAAGTGTTACTGTTCTTGCAGTACTCCTTTGATTTGTTGAGGTCTCTGGTTTCCAAACCACAAAATTTCCCTTTCTTCTTTTCATGAAAAGAAAAAAAAATTCTACAGCACAAGGACAATGGACAACCATTTCTTGATGGATCAAAATTTTAAATATAGAGGGAAAAGTAAAGTCATAGAACTAGATGGTCATCCAACCATCTCATGAATTTAATTGGAAATACTAAGAGTCTACTGCAAGAAGCATTAAAAGAGCTATTTTCAAAATAATTCTACGGCAAACCCTTATTGAATTTCCCCTTTCTATGTTATTGTTCCTAAATTAACTTCCCCGGTCACAATCAGCTAGAATATGCAGCAGTTACAAATAATTCCCAAACCTCTTAGCATTTCTTTCTCCTGCAGAAAGGAACACAGAGCTGCAGGAGCTTTGCTCACGGTGGTCACCTGAAGTTAAGACAGATGGAAGTTCTGCCTCAACTTGCCTTTGTGACCTCTCGCGGCCGTGCGATGAGACATGGTGCTGCTCACTAGGTCGGGCTCTTGGGACTTGCCGAGCATGTACAAGGAATGTCGTATTTAAGGTGTTCTGAGATTAAGGGAAGGTTCTCGTTTCTTCCTCAAAGGGAAAGCAAGACGAGGTGAAGTTGCCACACAGCTCACAGGGGCAAGATGGGGTAGAGTGAATGCTTAGGATGCTCAAGGCCGGAGGTTCACTCCCCAGAGCAAGTGCACATGTGCCTGCATGTGTGCATGCAGGCATGCGCGTGCACACACACACACACACACACATACATTATCTCATAGGCATAATGAAACATGAGCAGACTCACATGGAAAAGAGAGCCCTTTGATTCCTTATTCTGGAAATTATTTCATTTTATAAATCTGTAAATTGATATTAACAATACACATTAGCATGTGATGTACACGGCCACCATTTCTTTCCAAATCCTCTCACAGATGCTGACTCCAGCTGCTCCTGGCCTGTGTGGCAGCTGCCATGCTTATGGCAACACAACCCAACAAACTGCCTTAAGACAACTTATGCAAAACACCGCTTTTGACCTCACCTCCTCTTCCACAAACTCTTCCCTCCTCACTCCAACATTCCAAGCTACCCTGAATTTTCAGTATCATAATGCTGACACTGTAGCCCAAAGGGCTGAGCTCCTGTGACATTTTGCTTCCACCACACCAAGCTGCTGTGTCCCTTCCCTCCCTGTAGGCACTCTGCTCTCTGAAGGAAGGAGCCACGTCTCACGCTTCCTTAGATCCTCTACTGCACTGAACATAATACAGAGAAGTTCAATTGATGTTTTTAATCAAAGAACAGCAAAGCAAAGGAGCTAGGAAGTACAACAGCAACTACTGACAAAGACGCAGAGCCAGAGTTCTAAGAAACTATTAAGCCCTAAAACAATTCTCCCTCCTCTGCAGTCCGGGTGGTACAGCTCGAGAGCCAAGCAT